TGTATAAATTTTGACGAGGCATGAAATCTTCTCGTTGTGCATAATTAATGACTCGTGATGCATGATTTCCGGAATGCATGATTCTTCAGCAGTATATGACTTCCGCTGATGCATGATTCCGCGATGCATGATTCCGCTATGCATGATTCCGCGATGCATGATTCTTCAGTGTACAAATTCCGCGATGCATGAATATTTATATCGCCCCCGTGGATAGTAACGGCAAGACGATCTCCAAATAATATCGACTTGATCGATAATGATAAAATAATAATTACACAACTGTCTCTTCTGAGGTAATGCATTGTCTTGATCGACAATAATCATCTTGCTTTGATAACGCAATGCAAATAGCGTCTTCTATAGCAAACGTGAAATTTCGTTGAGATTCCTGTTTGATTCACCTTTGAATCTGGCTGGATACTTTGTAAATTTCCCACTGTTGAGAATGGTTTAAAATAAACAAACACATTCACAAGCATCTTCACAAAAACTATATGAATTGCCTCCTGCTTTCAGTAAGATCACCGATTTTGGAGATAGTTTTCTCCTCTTCAGGAGCTCTCCGTATTCATCCGTCGGGATAATTCGACCGACTTCAAAGCAAAACTATAAACCTACATCCACAGAAAAATTGTCAATTTTAAACATACTGATCTGTGTTGATCCCTTCGATTGTTTGCTCCTTGTCTTGATATCTCCGGTTGATTTCCCGATTTTCTGACTCTTGATAGATAAGAAAATATCTTATGCCAAAATAGATGAAATATAGAAGGCAAATTTTAAGAGAAACAAAAAAAAATTTAAGATATAGTATCTTGAAAAAGTCACTGCCAAGTCATGTCATATCAGGCTTAACGAGCTCCCTTCAGTCCGACATCTGCTGATAAGTTTCAGAGGCATTTCAGAATTGTAGGGAAGACCCCATGACGAAATTTTGAGTCCATCCTCAAAATTTCTGTCCCAGTTTACTATCTTGTGCATCTCTCTAATGTAACCAAACAGATCGCGGAATTTTGAGATCTTCTCAAAAATTCTGTCCCAGTCACCAATCTCGAAATGCCTTTAGTTTGACTTGCTGAAGAGAAGGCTTCTTCTGAAGAATTTTTTAGTCCCACTCAAAAAGTTTGTCCCCGTTCTACTGTAAAGGGGAGTAGAAATCTTACGAGAGATATGACCGAGCCCTTGTGGCGCCTACATATCTCGTTGAGGTAGGAATTAGGTCAAACGTAGTTCCCCTTAAAGTTTAACAAGAATAAAATTTACAAAGAAACCGACCGAGGCCGACAAAGGACGCCTACGTATCTCATTCTTGAGAATTCAGGTCGAACGTAGTTCAAATACAAAGAAATAATAAAGGGGGTAAATGGGGTGACCGAAGCCGACATAGGCCGCCTACGTATCTCGTTCTCAAGAATTCAGGTCAGACGTAGTTCGTTACAGGAGGGATAGGAATTCAAATTGAACAAATACAAGCAAACAGAACGATTACAAGTAAATAACAGAAAATGCGAAAATGGAACTTCACGTGTAGTATCTCTTGACAGCATCTGAGTTGATAGGCTTGGGCCATACAGCACCATCCATCTCTGAAAGGACCAAAGCACCTCCAGATAGTACTTTACGAACCATGTAGGGACCTTGCCAGTTTGGCGCAAACTTTCCTTTGTACTCGTCTTGATGAGGAAAAATTCGCTTGAGAACCAACTGACCCACTTCAAAATTTCTGGCTCTTACTCTTTTGTGAAAAGCGCGAGTCATTCTTTGTCTATACAACTGG